GCAGCTGTCCTTAGTGGACCATCTAACGGCCGTGACCAGGGGGGCTTTTGCACAGGTTCACCTGGTGCGCCAGTTACGCCCTTTCCTGGACAGGGATGCCCTTTGTACAGTCACCCAAGCTCTCGTTATCTCTCGTTTGGACTACTGCAATGCCCTCTACATGGGGCTGCCCTTGGGGTGCACCCGGAGGCTCCAACTGGTCCAGAATGCAGCCGTGCGGGTTGTTACGGGAGCTTCCCGTTATTCCCATGTTACACTCTCCTGCATGAGCTGCACTGGTTACCGGTGGTCCTTCGGATCCGCTTCAAGATGCTGGTACTTACCTATAAAGCCCTACATGGCATAGGCCCGGGGTATTTGCAGGACCACCTTCTGCCTGCCTCCCACCGCCCTGTGCGCTCACATAGGACTGCCCTACTCCGGGTGCCATTGGGCAGACAATGTCGGTTGGTCGCGCCCAGGTTGAAGGCGTTCTCTGTGGACGCACCGACCCTCTAGAATGGGTTACCCACCGGGCTCCGGACGGCCCCCGACCTCCGCTCCTTCCGCCATGACCTGAAGACATGGCTTTTTCAACGAATTTGCTGATCTGATGGTGTGATTTTTAAATGGGAGATTTAAATTGAGTGTTTTGGTAGTTGTTTTATCGTTTTTATCATTTTTTAATTTTTGTGAGCCACCCACAGTCCTTTGGGAGAAGGGCAGCATATAAGTATAATTAAATAAATAAATAAATGTGTCTTGTGAAGATAATTGGGGCCTTTTCCTTCCTCGCAAGCCACACAACCCATGTTGCTCTCTTCTGCGTTCTTCCATGCATGCCCTAGGATGAGGAAGGGATGGGCCTTGGTCTTCATCAGAACCCCCTCTCCCTTGTTCTACCTCTCCCCTGCTCTGCCCAGTCTGACTTTGCCCTTTCCCAGTTTCCTCCACAGCCAACGGAGCCACTCTCTTGCTCTCTATCAGCTGTTCATCTTCCATCTCAGAGTCAGACTCCGATGGGCTCATTATAGTTTGCTTAAGCCGGTGGTAGGATCCAGGCTAAGACCAGTGGCAAAAGAGGCTCCAGGTACCATAATTGTGTGTGTGTGTCTGTCTGTGTGTGTGTGTGTGTGTGTGTGTGTGTCTGTGTGTGTGTGTGTGTGTGTGTGTGAGAAAAGCATTATGAAATTAAACAAGTATTGGTTTCCAGACTATATATGGGAAAACTCCAGTACTTAGTACAATGGAAGGGTTACCCAATGTCAGAAGTACCATGGGTTAAAGCCAGAATATGAAGGTGGATAAACTTTTGGTCTATGTTGTCCTTGAACAGAGCCTAACAGTTATACTTGTATCCATTAATATTAGACCATAAGCTTTTTCTTGATAAATTGTAACAATATTTGATGATGGTGCCACTATCAGATGAACCATATGTAACACATGTTATATTTAATGGGTCTATGTTCACGTGGAGGAAAATATAAAATAGGGATTTCAGAACTCTATCCTAGCCCCAGTATTATTTCTCATCTTCAAAAAGGGTTTGGGGGTGGGGGTGGGGAGAATAAAAATGATGTTCAGAAAATTTGACAGGCTCAAAGCAGAGGAAGAGCAGGTTGTTAATATTTCAGAACACAATTTAAGATTCCAAAAGATCTTGATAGGTTTGAACTGGATCCCTCCAATAAAATGTTGTTCAGTAGTGAGAAATGTAAACTTCTGCACTTAGGCAGGAAAAACCAGTATCCAGCTTAACAGTAATACTTGCAAGAAGGATTTGGGAGTTTTTGTAGACCACAGATTAAACACTATCCAGCAATGTGCTATAATTGCCAAAAGAATCAAAGCAGTTTTGAATTGAACCAGTAGCAGCATAAAGATAGTCCTCGGTTATAGTCATTTATTTTTCAATTGTTACAAGTTATGACAGCACTGGACAAGGGGGATTTATGATCAGTCCTTGAGCTTTTAGCCATCAAGCATTTTGCAGTGACATGACCATCATTTGTGATTTTCCCTGCCAGCTTCCCGCAAGCAAAGTCAATGGAGAAGCTAGTAAGAAGTTATAAGTTGCCCCTGCTCCCTCCACTTTTTCTCCCAGTGAGTTTCTGGGTGTGAAGTGGATCTTATATTTTGCAGTGCCTGCCTATGCAATTTTGCCCATATGTAATCCAAACCATATGCCTACCTACATTTGCACCTATTTGCAGCATCTGTCTGCACACTATTAAGCTGAAGTTATGCAAGATCCAATTTTGGAGGGTTTCAATAAAAGGTTGGGCAGCTATTTGCCCAGGATGAGAAGAGGCTTTCACCACCAAATGTTCTCCAAAATTGTTTCCAGCCCTACGATTCTATGAATTGCTTTTAATGCAAATCAACCTACTTTTGTATTTTCCCTGTTGAAATTTTTAAAAAGAAAAATTGAATCAATATAATATTAACCTTACTGCATATATTTTCATTAGCTTTCACATGCAATTATTTTGTCAATAGTTTTATAAAATATAAGCAAAGACTAATTCATGCTATTTGCTATAACATCTGGTTCATGAAGAATCCCTAAATTCACTGCTGATAGAACCCATGGAATAATTATTTTATACCTTTGATCTGTAAAATTGAGCTAGTTAGTTTTTGAACTGCTTGGGGAATCCCATTTCTAGATTTAATATAAATAATGTGTTTATAAAAAAGGATCTTTGATTTTTTTTAACCTATTTATTTAGAATATTTCTAATTATGTTTTTTCACTGATATTTGAATATTAGGACAAAGTATTATGTGAATTTATTTTTTAAAAATGTAGTATTGCCATTCAGTACACCTTCAATTTATTTGGAGTGCCAGTAATTATTCTTGTACCATAAACATATGTGTATTAATCATGCCAAGTAATATGCTGGTTTGCATAAATTAATATATGTCTGTGAGGATATTTGGACTCCAACTGGGTAGTCTCAGGGGAAGAGACTGGGGCAGGTCTTGAGAATGTTATCTGGGATGAGTTTGATCCTCTGACCCCTGAGGACGTGGACAGGATTCTGGGCAGATTGAACGCGACCCCTTGTTTATTGGACCCGTGTCCTTCCTGGTTAGTGCTGGCTTTCCGGGAAGTGACACAAGGCTGGCTCCAGGGGATTATAAATGTTTCGTTGGATGAGGGTGACTTTCCTGCCGCCTTGAAAGAGGCGGTGGTGAGGCCTCTCCTCAAGAAGCCTTCCCTGGACCCGGCAATGTTGGTAAACTATCGTCTGGTCTCCAACCGTCGCTTTGTGGCGAAGGTTGTTGAGAGTGTGGTTGCGCAACAGCTCCCCCAGCACCCAGATGAAATGACGTATCTGGATCCGTTCCAGTCGGGCTTCAGGCCCGGGTACAGCACGGAAATGGCATTGGTCGCGTTGATAGATGATCTCTGGAGGGCTAGGGACAGGGGGTGCTCTTCTGTCCTGGTCCTGTTAGATCTCTCAGCGGCTTTTGATACCATCGACCATGGTATCATGCTGCACCGGTTGGAAGAATTAGGGGTGGGAGGCACTGTGTTGCAGTGTTCTCCTCCTTTCTCTCTGACCGGTCGCAGTCTGTGTTGACAGGGGGGCAGAGGTTAACCTTGAGGCCCCTCATATGCGGGGTGCTGCAAGGGTCACTCCTCTGGCCCCTCCTGTTCAACATTTATGTGAAGCCACTGGGCGAAATCATCCGTGGTTTCGGGGTGAAGTACCACCAGTATGCTGATGACATTCAGCTGTACATCTCCATCTTGGACCACCCCAACGATGCCCTTGAAGTGATGTCCCGGTGCCCAGAGGCCGTGCGGATCTGGATGGGGAGGAATAGGCTCAGGCCCAACCCATCCAAGTCCGAGTGGCTGTGGTTTCCGACGTCCCGATATAGTCAGTTGGTGCCATCACTGACTATTGGGGGTGAATCATTGGCCCCCACGGAGAGGGCGCGCAACTTGGGCGTCCTCCTGGATTCACGGCTATCTTTAGAAGAGCACTTGACAGCCGTGACTGGGAGGATTTTTCATCAGGTTCGCCTGATCCGCCAGTTGCGTCCCTTTCTGGATCGGGACTCCTTACACACGGTCACTCATGCCCTCGTCACTTCCTGCCTGGACTATTGTAACGCTCTCTACATGGGGCTCCCCTTGAGGAGCACCCGGAGGCTCCAACTGGCGCAGAGTGCGGCCGCGCGGGTGGTAATGGGAGCAACATGGCGTTCCCATGTAACACCCCTCTTGCGCAAGCTGCACTGGCTCCCGGTGGTCTTCTGGGTGTGCTTCAAGGTTTTGGTTACCAGCTTTAAAGCGCTCCATGGCTCAGGACCTGGGTACTTGCGGGACCGCCTACTACCACCAATAGCCTCCTCCTGGCCGGTACGCTCCCATAGAGAGGGGCTCCTCCGTGTGCCGTCGGCCAAACAATGCCACCAGGCGGGCCTGGCCTAATTTTCTCCCTCTTTCATAAAAGAATTTTTAATTTTTAATATTTTTTAGTATTTTATATATTCAAATTTTAAAATTGGTTTTGAATTGATTGGGGTTTTAATTTGTCTGGGCCAAAACTATTTAATTTGATTTTAATTCTGCTTTTTAAATTTTGTATGTATTTTATTGTTTGGCTGTGCACCGCCCTGAGTCCTTCGGGAGTTGGGCGGTATAGAAATCAAATAAAATAAATAAATAAAATAAATAAATATTTGATTTTTAAAAAAAAAAATTGGTAACAGACTTTATATAGAAATAACAAGTGGCATTTAAATGGATGCTTATACTTTATTAAGGGGTATTCTATTAAATTTTGTACTGAGAATCAGCTTGAATAATATAGCATGTATAGAAACTCTACAAATTCTATTGTGCCAATTGTAATGACATGTTAATTGACTGCCAGGTGAATTTTAAGGTAACAAAGACAAGAAGGTTTATGTTTTTAAAAATGAAAGTTCATCAGATTCTTCTGAACAAAATTAAGTGTTAGCCAAATGCTAACAGAAGTTTATAATTTTTGTAGGTAATAGCTCTAGCAGATGCAGCTGAAGAAAACCAAGCCATTATGTTCCAGGCATTCACAAAATTAAAAAGTGCCACCCAGCTGGTAATCCTGCTAATTAGTCTATGGCAAAAACTGAATGTTGACCAAATTGCTATTCTGGAAGCTACATTTCTGCCATTAACACAGAATACTCAAGACTTGGTAAGAGTGTGCTAAGTTTATTTTTAAACCACAAAAAATATTACATTCATAAGGGATGGTTTTTAATTTAATTTTCTTTCCTGCATGGAATTCTACTTGAATCAGAGTGCCTTTTTTGTTACTGAAGGGCAGTGAGCTGCTTCAGCCAACACATTTGGAGTGCATTATTAAAGAGCAACAAAAACAAATCCAGAACACACTATTTCCTCCATTGTGTTCACTTTAATTTATATGTAAAGCTTTAATTTCTTTGCAGTGTCCAAGATAAAAATGTATAATGTCTGCCTTGTGGACATAATTGTGGTTCTATGCTTAGTGGGATAAGCTCTTGTTTTTCAGGGAACAAGTCTATTTTGAAAAGCCAAAGTTACAGAGATGAAGAAGCTTAAAGAACTACAGAAACATGTAGACAATGTAGACCTTTCAATTATAGTATCTTCATCGCACTTTCAGGATTATAGAGAATTTTTCTTAACCTATAAAAACATTATTAATTGGCTTACCCCCTTTCTCCCACATCATTACAAAACTATCTAGTGCAGCATCCAGATTAGGAAAGACAGAAACACTCTACAGATAATAGTTCTGTACATTAATTGGGGTCTTCTAACCAATTCTCTATCCGAGCTTCTTTTTTTTGCCTCATATCAGCAGCTTTCTATCACCTACCACAGTGATGGCGAACCTTTTTTTTCCTGGGTGCCGAAAGTGCGCGCATGCACGCATGACAACACACATATCTGCCAGCACCAATAATGCAATGCGTACCCTGCTATGCATGCACACACGACCCCACCCTCATGCTCCCCTGCGCATGTGCCCCGAATCGCACATGCGCCCCCATGAACCCCGCCCCCTCCCACACCCTGTTTTGGGCCTAGAAAGCCTCCTGCACCAACCTTTGCCGGTGGGAACATCCTGCTCCATGTCCAGAAGTGGCAGCATGACAGCCACCGCCACCAGGGGTGAGGGGGCGGTAGTGGCGAGGATGGGCGGGCTGGGGCTTCCCTTCCTCCCTTCCAGCCCAACCGGCCAGCTCAGGCACACAGGGCAGCATTTTTTTTTTCTCCCGGCTCAGATACAATTTTTTTTCCTTTTAAGATGAGATTGTTTCACTTTGGAAATTTTATTCTTGTTATTTTCAATACATGTGTGGACTACAAAGGGATCCAGGCGGCCACACACCAGTGGCCTCTCAGTCGGACGGCCTCGGTGGAATCTCTGCCCCTCAGCCTCTTTGGCAGCTTCACAACTTCCCTGCCGGTCCACCGCCCACAGGCTTCCCCAGCCACTTGCCAGCCGGGCTTTCTGCGGGCCACAGCTCGGCAGGGCCCACTGCTGCTTTTCCCTTGCCTGGTGGGGCGGGGCACTGGAGCAACCCGGTTGCCTCATGCTGAGAACTGACTGCAAGTCTTTTGGCGAGCTCAGCACATATCGCCGGGCCAGAGGGCACCTGGGTACCAGCCCGTTCCCTGGCGAGATAAAGCAGTGGCTGTTACTTAGCTGGCGGCAGTGTCTCAGCTCTGCCACCTTGGCCTCAATGTGTAGCTTCCGCCACCCCGCTGAGAGCTGCCGACCAAGTAGGTGCGGCTGGCGGGGCTTTGGCGGACCAGCAGCCGGTGAGGGGGGTGATGGGCTACCTGCGCAGGTGACCCCATTGCCACCATCAAAGCAGGGCCGAGAAACCCTCTTGGCTTGCTGTGCCAGCTGCACGGGTCCCCTGGACTGTTGGCGTCGCCACCTCCCCCTGCAGTGGCCGGAGTGCACGGCTTGGTGGTGGGGGTCAGGCAGAGGTGCTGCACCACCTGCGGTCAAGCCCATCGCCCGACCTCTGCCATGCCCGCCACTGCACCACCAGCTGAGCGGTTGGATCTTCAGAGAGTTGAGGGTTAACTTTTCAGCACTCTCCCATCCAGTGATCCAAACCCAACTGGCTTCTCCACATCCCAAGGACACATACACCCCTGCACTCAGCAGCCACTTTTACCAACTTCACCTTCTTGCGCCCCACCCGAGCCATCTGTTGCAAGCTGAGGAGGACCTGGGGCGACGATCGCGTCCCTTTCTCGAAGTCCCCTCTCGACTCTGGACATGTTTCGCAGTTGTGACCCTGAGCCAACGCCGGGGAAAAAGCAGAATGGCAGCTGGCTGCCCCACCCACTGCTCCTTCTCAGCCAGTGGCGGGCATGGTGGAGGTAAGGTGACCGGCTGAACCAGAGGTGGTGCAGCACCCGCACCTGATCCCCACTCCCGAGCCGTGCCCTCCGGCCTCTGCAAAGGGAGTTGGCAGTGGCCAAAGTCCAGGGGACACATGCAACCAACAGAGTGAGCCAAGAGAGTTTCTCGGCCCTGCTTTGACGGCAGCCCATCCCCCCCTCATCAGCTGCTGGTCTGCCAAAGCCTCGGCAGCTGCACCTCCTCGGCCAGAAGCTCCCAGCAGGGAGGAGCCCAGGCAGGGCAGTGGAGGGCGCACATTCAGAGGCCAAGGTGGCGGGACCAAGACGCCACCGCCACCCGCACATACGCACCCCATGCCCTGTTTTGGGCCTAGAAAGGCTCCTGCACCAAACTTTGCCCGCACGAACAGTCAGCTGCCACCACTCCTCCTCCTGCCAGCCTTGAGCTCCAGGCAGCATCCAGCATGGCTCTTCATGCTGGCAAAGGTTGGTACAACCATCTCCCACCACTTCTTCCAAGGGAGTATGACCACTTACCAGCCGGCACATCTCTTACTGCTTACCACACTCTCCTCTGGTCCTGCTGGGGACAGCTCACTTCCCCGCCGGTGGCTTCTTCTCCTGGCTGTGAGACACAAGGGGGCACACTGGAACCCAGAAGAGGAAAAGGAGCAGAGCTGCCAGTTAGGCCAGGGCTTTCCTGTCTCCCCGCCAGAGGCCTGGGGCTGTGCAAGAAGCCCACTCAGGCTGGGAGTTAGGGAAGCTCACAGCTCCAGTGGCAGGAGCAGCTGACGGAGCAGAGAGGGTGGCGGCAGGCTGTGGCAGCAAGTCGTTTGCTCTGAATAAGATGCAGCAGAGGCTCCTCATCCTCCTGCCAGCCTTGCGCTCTGGGCAGCATCCAGCCAGCCATGCCTTGCCTTCCCCTGCAGCAGCTCATGTGGATCCCAGGCAGCGCAGCTTCGGGGTCTTCCCTCGCGGTGTCGGTGACAAGGCAGGCAGGTGGGTAGGCACAGGGGAGCGACTAGGGCAACGCTCCTGGCTGGCAAGGGGGTAGATGTCCCAGGGCACACATGCACACCGGCCAGCTAGTCTTCTGTTTACTGGGACGCATGTGTGTGTGACAATTAGCTGGCCGGCTGATCTTCTGGTTTCTGGCACTGCAGCACATGTGAAGGCCAGCTGATCATCGTGTGTGCATGTGCACCAGTAACCAGAAGACTAGCTGGCCAATGCGCATGCATGCGCCGGAAACCCGGAAGAGGAATGGGCGGATGCCGTGTGTACCATGTGACATGGCTCTTCCGAAATGCGTGCCATAGATTCGCCATCACGGACCTACCACCTCAACTGCCCTTTCCTTCATGGTCATTGACTGTTGCTATATAGATAAACCTTACTTAAAGTCACAGCCATGCTGATAAAATAACTGACCAAGTTATTTTTTAATAAGTGACCAAGGTATGCTTTTACAACCTTTACAGCATCTGTGTCTGTAACATCTTTGCCGTTATATTCAGAGCACTTGTTGTCTTGTGTCTCACTGTTCCTACCCCCAGCAAAGAGATTGCTTAAAAACATGCAATCTTTTCCTCACTTCTTTTCTCCACAGTTCAGCACTTTCCCAGAAGGCACTGACCACAAGTTAAGCTAAGCTCTTTGACCTTAATTAGTAGTTTGCAACTGCTGCCTGGAGCTGATAAGACTTTAATCATTTTCATATTTCAACTTTTGTTTGCTTCCTGAGTTACTTGGGGCCCGGAATGATGAATGCAGTAGGCAAACAACTTGCAATAGTATTTTCCTTTCAATGAGTATTTCCAATTGTGTAGTCTCTTTTTTCCTCCAATGAATATAAATACAAACTATTAATTCTCTTCTTACTAATTATCCCACTGTTAGAATGAGTATGCCAAACTAGGGTAGGGATGTCAAGCTCACATCATCATGGCAGCATCATGTGACGTATCAGGACATTTTTTCCCCTTCACTAAACCAGGCATGGGCTAGCAAATGATGCATACGGCCCATGGGTCGGGAGTTTGACAGTCCTGCACTAGGGAGTGGGAGAAAAGGAAAGCTGAAGTTGAATCATAAGTACAGTTGCAGTCATGTGATTTTCCATTTAGCAAGCACATCACATACAAACAAGTTACCATCCTCAGTTTAGTGTCGTTTAGTATGAGGATTACCAATAGCTTGTCAAGTAAAATTTGCTACTAGGAGATATTTTCATTCCTTCAAAATTCAAAAGATATAATTATTTGGGAAGTAATTGAAGGAACATTTTAGAAATTTGTATTGGGAGTTTATTTATTTACAACACTTATGTAGGCACCTATCTTATATAATGATTCTTAATGGCTCAAAGTATCATTAAATGTAGTTAAAAATGAAGGAACAGATCCCACAGACAGATCCCATCTCTTCCCACAGACCAACATTCTCAAAGCTCAGCTCCCATCCTAGCCCATGCTTGGGACAAGAACCAGTTCTTCATGGACTGGTTCTCTCAGGTGGGAGGCTGTTCCAAAGGGTTACCACCAAGAAGGTTGAGTGATATGAGATGGCTGGGTTGGTCATTGAGAATACAAATGAGAGAGATATGTGGAACGGTAGACTTGAAACAATTACTGTATAGTACATAAATCTTTGAACCCAAGAAAAAGAAAATGGAACAAGGAAATATTTATATATGTATAAATACACGCACGCACACACACACACACACACATACACACACACACACACACACACTTCCACAAGGAAAACTTGTGGTGAAGACAAAGGTATGCTGATAAAGGATATGTGAAGCTCTGAATATTA